CCCCCCCCCCCACCAGGAGCGGGGTTAATAAAGCCTTGACAGCCGGCACCGCCCGGCCGTTGGGCTTCAGTCTTCGGGAAAATAGAGCGGATCGATTAAATCGCAGCTACTTGTTGCAGAGGGGTGGTTGCCCCTCATTTATGTCCCCTTCCTTGTGCCCTCCCTGCTGCAGGGTTTCGAGCACCGTGGCAATGAGTTCGCCGTGCTCTGCCAACTGAGTGTCTCGAGGGAAGCAGGCAATCGAAAGACGGCCGAAAACGTCGGATTTCTTTCTCCCTTTCCCATCGTCACCACCAGACAATTTTTCTAGGCCGTTCGGCTGTCTCGGCACTCCCCCCAACAGCACAACCTTTGTACCCGAGGCCGCTCTCACTCTTCCGATGCAGCATCCCCGAGCGGTCCGACGGTGAGACCGTACCGGCCGCAGTGCTGCGGGGCAGTAGATGGGGGCTCCCGGAGCTGGGCTGGTCCTATCTCCCCCTGCCCCGCCTCGGCTGAGCCAAGCTTTTGTCTCCCTCTGTTGGGAAGCGCGGAGAAATCCGCTCTTTGCGGCTGTGCGCGTATTTCCACGCGGCCCTTTCTTCTTCTTGGGCACAAGCAGCTCCCAGCTTTGCTCCGTGGGGGTGGGTACCGAGAGGGCTTCTTTTAGGGGGTTAAAGACGTAAATACGAATTCCATCCCCTCTCCCGGCAGAATGGGAGGCCGTCAGCACATCCCCGCAGGCACCTGCTGAGGGATGCAGTGCGCGGTGCAGAGTGAAGAGAGCATGGGATGGTCGTCCTCTGCTGTGCCCATGGGAAAGGTTCCGGCCGAGTGTTTGTGCGGGGATGGAAAGGGAAGAAAAGAAGGAGAACGAAATAGGAGAGGAAAAAAAAAAAAAAAAAAAAAGGAGGGGAGGAGGGGGGAGGAAAGAAGAAAGAAATGAAGAAGAATGAATAGAAGAAAAAGAAGAAAACGAAAAACGAAAAGAGGATGGAAAATGAATAGAAAATGAAAGAAAAAAAAAGGAAGAAGAAGAAGAGGAAACAAAGGGAAGAAATAAAAAGAAGGAATAGAAGGAGGAGGAAGAAGACAGAAGTGGAAGAAAAATAATGGGAAAAGGAAAAGAAAGGGAAAAAGGGAAAGGGAAAGGAAAGAAGGAAAGGGAAAGAGAAAGGGAAAGGAAAAAAGAGAATAAAAAGGAAAAGGAAAAAGGAAAATAGAAAGGAAAGGAAAAGGAAAAGAGGCACCCTGTAAAAGGGCTCCAGGCAGGGCTGCAGCCCCGACCGGCCCAAACGTGCCGGGATCCGAGCCCGATCTCCCCTCCCGCTCGCGGTGCTGCCCGGGGAACCTCGGCAGCGCCGGACCCGAGCGGCCCGGTTCGGCTCCTCGTGTCCCGGGGCCGAGCACCCAGCTCCGACCCGCCCTCGCGATGGTTTTCATTTGCTCGGGCTCCTTTTTTCCCCGTCCCCTCCTCTTTTTCCTCTCTCCCCTCGGCCCTCTCGCTTTATTGACGCTCCCTCCCGGCTCCGGCTTTGATTTAGCGGTGTAAGCTCACGGTCCAGCAAGGAAAATGTTAGGCTGGGGCTAAAGAGTCCCTTGTCCCATCGCCCCTGAAGAGGGGCAGATTTGGAGACA